CCCTCCAACACATAGCTATACGTCAAAGAATAATTGCCCAACAGTATAGTATCACCTCGGAGTTTTGGATATTTACCTGCTTTCCTTAACTCGCTTAAAAAAGGAATTAATTGTTTACGTCTTAATCTAGATCTTTTAATAAGGTCCTGTGAGATTTGAGTTTCTTTCCATACGTTCGACAGGTTTTGCTGTTTCATTTTTATAAAACTCGAATATATGTAATCTCTTATTTGAGTATTTTTAATAATTAATTTAATTGTTGGATACTGTGATTTAGTTATTGGAATAATCGCTATTATATCATCCATTGTAACTTCATGTAATTCTAATGATTCATTAATAAGATTAAACACTTCTAGCTTGGTAGGACTAGTTTTACTGGGATATCTATATAACATTATATTATTGCGATGTTGCGCATTAACCATATTGTCCATTCGATATTGCATACTTTCATTTTCTATTTTCAAATTAGCAATCTGTTGTTCAAGATTAATTATTTGGCTATTCATTTTTTGATTCTGATCTTTAGTTTCTTGAATACTATTACGAATCTGGTCCAGATCTTCTTTGATAATAGTCATTTGATTTAATATTCTCGTGTTAGAAACATTAATTAAATCAGAAATTTTATTCCATAGTGTTATACTTGATATATCAGATGAATTTTTTCCTGGTGAAGAAGATAAAAGATCAAATGGCTCACCTGATAGTTGTGAACTTAGAAGTGAAGTTTCAGGGTTCAAACCTGCATTTGCAGAGGTTGGTTCAGGAGAAGTTCTTTCAACGTATGAATTGTAATCAGTAATTAACCTGGAATTAGTGGTCGAAGCAGTTTCCTTTCCACTAGCCGATTTTGACCTTTGACGTGGTGGTCTTCCTCTTTTAGTTGGCGTGCGTTGCATATTAATTATGTTGATAGATTTTCCAACACTAATAATGTTAGCACACAGCACAAACAAAAAAATTTAACTTAAAATTATTTGACAGGATACGTTCTATACCTGTATTTGAGGTGAGTAAAAAAACGCGCCAGCAGCTTCGGCAGACAGAAGCGCCCCCCAATAAATAGATAATCTAATCAATTACTTAAAAAAAAGCATGAACTTAATTGTCAGATATTTAGCAAGTCTAAAATTCTTAATTTATTAGAAGTATCAAAATTTTACAGCAATATAAATTTATAAATTTTTATTTATCATATTTATACATAAATAATTTAGAACATTAATTGTAAAAATATTTATTTTTACTATAATTACCTGTACTATCAAAACAAATTGGAATCCATGAACCAAAAGTGAAGTCTACTCTTTCTGCATGCCTGATAACAAATAACTGTCTGGGCATTTGCTTTTGGTCTTCTCTTTTATATCTAATACTCTATAATTTACAAATAATTATAATTTAAAAATTTATGAATACCAAATGATTTTTAATTAGTTCTAATCAAAGAATATAGAATAAATAATTACAAATTCCAGATATCTTGTGTACTTAAATTTGAAGGTTAGTTAAAGCATTCACTACTGAAGATACTATACATATAGTATTTTAAATATGGAATGTAATTACTATAAAAATTGTTACCATAATTTTGGGCAAATAATCTGCAGAAAACTGCAAGAATAAAAATAAAATATTTGCATAATCAGCTCTAGCATATAATCTGTGCCTTTGGAGAAGCTGTTGAAAGCAAGATAATTCACAGCATGCATTTTAGAATTTGCCATCTCAAGAATTAAAATATCATATTTTCTGTTTCATTTTTGTTAACAAATCATTGTAGATATACATAAACAACCAAGCCCAAATATTCTGCAATAATCATATTAATTTCTGGATTATTTGGACTGTAATTAGGCTAACTGTTAATAATTAATATAAAGTAATTACTTCTAAAGCTAGGCAGTTAGACCGCTATCTTATATGAACATTAATTGATAATTACAATAATTTTTGAATTAAATTTAATAATTTTATTTAATTTTTATCTTAAAAAATTAAATTATTATAATTATTTAAATATGTATTAAAAAGAAATAATATTTAAATAATTTTAAAATACTTAAAAATAAAAAGTATATCATACATTTGTGTTTCCAGAATTTGTAAAAGACAATTCTTTTGAATGAGGACTATGTTTTGGACTATTTAATAACTCTTGTTCTTCATAAGATTGCAGATGGCGATGAAGTTTAGGTGACTGCTTTGTATCACTATTTTGTTGAAGTAATCTTTTAGAGAGAGAATTATCTTCAGTATTATCAGGAATAATATTTTTAGACAATGGAACAGATCTGTAATAAAAATATTAAGAGTCTAAAAATAAAATCATAATGATGCACTTGGAACCAATTACGATATGATAATAAAACAATAAAAACTAACATTTTGGAACCCCTTCTGGGCTCTACATCAGGTTCTTAACCATTCCTAAATGATTATTCGATAATAAAATAACATTTAAATAAAAATTCAATTATAAGTTTGAAAAAATTTACGAAAAAAAAACCATACTGCGCATGGCCAATGAGTCAGCATGTCTAAAGAAAACAAGTAGCTAGAGCAAGTTGTGAATCAGCCTCTTGCCAATAGCCTCAAATAATTGAACTTTTATTTAAACATTATTCCATTATCGAATAACCATCTAGGAACAGTTAAGAACCTGATGCAGAGCCCAGAAGGGGTTCGAAAATGTTTGTTTTCGTTGTTTTATTATCCACTGTAAATGGTTCCGAGTGCGTCATTATCATTAATTTGGTGTGATGAGTAGTTATTTAATAAAATCATAATTATAATAATAAATTTCAAAATAAAATTGTATAAAACAATAAAAAAAGAAAAGAAAATAAAGGGTTTTGAAAGATCTTAATATTTTCAATGTTAACCATGAGTCTGGAACCAGAGGAGACAATTAGGTCATAGTCCACCCACTTTTTCCCTGTCAAAAATCAAAGCTTAAAATATAAATCAGAAATATAAGCATGCAGATATATATATATATATATGGCATAAACAAGTTATATATTTAATCATGTTTTCTGTGTGGGAAAAAATAGCTGTTGAAAATGGAATAGGAATAGCACTGTAATAAATTGCTAATTAATACACTAATTTAATCTATATATATATAAAAATAAATGTATGTCTGTCTGTCTGTCCTTCATGCATTACCACACCGTTTATCCGATTGCTATGAAACTTTGGGAAGTTGTTTAATATACTCCTGTGAAGGTTTCTGGCATAGTACGATTGCAATTAAGCTTTAGAAAGTTTTTAATACACTCCCGCAAAGGTTTCTGGCATAGTACATTTATCCTACGATAGATGGCGTGCATGTATATGAGCATTTCACAGTGAGAGTGATCGATTTCAAATTGTGAAGACCATTTCACCCCTCCAAAAAATTTCTCTATATATGCATTTGTAAACTGTTATTTACAATATTTGTAATAATTTTTGTTTAATCACTTTATTTCAACTATTTTTTGCTAATTATGTATTCGCTCAAACTTTGTTAAAACCTTAACTGTATCCCGAACAACAACCGAAGTTGTAGGAGGAAATTCGCCTATTTTACCGATCTAGGGATCCTCCTTTTCCAAAATTTAATATCAACTCAAAATAATTTAAAAAGACAAATTACAATAAAACGGTTTATTATCCAACTATCAGAAATTTCACAACATGCCAAGGAAAAGAGGAAGGAGCAATTAAATAATTAAAATTATAAAGGATTGAAAAATATATATAAAAGTGGGGAATATCGCACTTCTGACAATCGCTGC